GCTCGATCCCTAGATACCTGCTCTAAATTTGTGCTGGTGTTCTACTTTTAGCGGTCTCTCATAGAGTAATTATTTAGTTTTAGATGCATAGCACATATGTTGAGTGTGTCACGGGACGGCAATTCAAAGAACTCCTCCTCAGTGTCACAGATGTCAAGAGACGTTGATTGTAATCGAACAATAACAGGAATCATCATCTAAAGTACATAAATACATAATACAGGGGATAGTGCCATTCCACTGTAAAAGTTTTCTATCGTTTTACTCTGGAGTAAGCGTAAAGATAGAGATGCATACATTCTTCTGTCTTTTAACTTAATGTTACTTGTAAGGCCAGTTTTCAAGAGATGCAATATTGAGTCCTCCAGAAGTCTTTATGGCAGTGCAGCTACTCATGAATCTCCATTGCAACTCCACAGCACACAACATGCGGACTGAAGTGACAGTAACAAAACCTGTCTGCCAGCATCTAGCAAATCTATCCATGTTAGGGAGCGAGGAGGGAAACAAAACGATGCCAGGGCCCTGTCAGTTCAGGTAATGATGATAAACAAAACAGAAAATGGCAGCGTGTCTTTCATCAGTATATTGAAATCAGGCACCCGTCTGTAAAGGAGTGAAGCGCCTGGTCTCTGTAAACTTGCAAGGTACTCGTCTACACAGTCATTTATTTTCTCAATAACGATGAAGGATGTGTTTGCGTGTGTTGAAACGTCTGCATTTGAACAAGGGTAATTACAGATTGAGACATGATCTTTTGATTCACCTTGTTAGATTCTTCAATGAGTACTTTGAAGCATTAGCAGTGCATTGTTGGAATTTGAATCATGACAGTGGCATGTTTAAATTCATATTCATTCATTCATAACTATTGGAGTCTACATACTTTGGATTGTTCATACTTCGGATTGATTTTGGATTGCTCATCTTTGAATTGCAATCAAAAACATGAAAAACAAAGACATGGTGACATAATATCTAATAGGCTTTCATTTTCAATTATGCATTGCCGTCTAATTGCAGTGGATTCAGTGAGGCATGCTACTGTATGTAGTGTGTGTGTTGTACTGGTGCAAGCAAAAATGCAAAATTCAGCAAATATAGTTTTTAAAAGCAGAACTGTAGTTAAGGTAAACAAAACAAACAAACAAAACAGCAATGGTGTATTTAATACCTGAAATTTACATGGATTTATCCCAAAGAACCACCCAGCCAGTCAATATGCTCCTCTTTGAAGAAGCTATTTCTAAGTTTTGCTATTGCTACATAGCCAGTGTTAGCATTAGCAGCTGTGTACTAAGCAGGCTTGACAAGAGCTTCAGCTGTCATTGTGCTTACAATGCAAGAGATTTAATTCACCATCTGAGAAGCGCTTCTTCAGAGCAGCCTACATACTGACTCAATATCAGACAGTTATGAGACAGTCTGACTGGCTAGCTTGCTAACTTCAGTACAAGACAAAATGTGATAGAAATAAAAGCAAAACAAAAGAGGTTGCTTTCAACTGCTGGAGACAGCTCTTGGTGAGTGAAGGAATGAAGGTTCAAGCTGAACTCACAACATTTCTTTTAGACTGGCAAGTAAACAGCTGTTAATGCTAACGTTACAACTTACAACTAGTTCCTTTAAGAAACTTTTTCTCCTGCAGGTTTCTGAGTCTGTGCACGTTACCCCCCACCTTTCCCCACATCCTCCCTTTTTATCATTCTGTGCTTCAGTTTTACTTCATCCTGATCTGCATGGAAAAACAACAGAGTTAGACTGACAGTTATTGTTCGGAAGAGCGAAGACACAGCAGAAAGAAAGCGAGGGGAGGAGGCAGAGACAGAAACTGAGGGTGAATCAATGAAATAGAGTTCACACTCTGTGATTACTCTCCACTGGAACATGAACGGTGTGTTTTAAATCACTGTTCTCATTGCTTATAGCCCATGGATTTGTGTGTTGAGGTGATGAAGGAGGGTTTTCAGCGCCCAGCAGAGATCCAGCAAAAACCATTCTAGTGACTGAAATGAATATGCCATTAATCTAGAAGAACTACCACTGACAAAAGCAGCAGCAGTAATGTTTAGGGTATCATATTTATTAGTCAACATCTGGTGTAGTCTGATATCAGTTCAAAACTCATCACACTGCATATTAGATCCATACATGTGAAATAAATGGTGTGGCAACAACCTGTAAATAACTTACCAAATGGTGTCTAATCCATATATGGCTCAATTTTATACCTCTTTTTTGATCAATCTAACAAGTCCTCCAATTTAAACAACCATATGGGTCACTCCCTATCTTCGAATATGAGCCATAGGAGTGTACAAGGAGCAGGCATGCTGGACCATGGTTGTCATGGCAACGATACCTGTGTGTTGTCAATTCATCCATCCAATCCAATCTCCTCCTAATGCAGACTTTGTTGCTCCCTTTACACCACCTCACCCGAGTTTTTCCTTTGCTCCCGTCATAACTGCTACGGCCACCAGAGGGATACTAACAATAACACAACCTTTATTTTCTCAGGTATACATTGACTGACCCTTATTTTCAATAAGATTTTATAAAATAACTATGGGTAATAATAAGCTGCTTCCACAGATGACCAATGGGCTTGTTTTTTACAAGTCTCAAAAATCAGTTATTAAAAAAGCACACTACCAAATTTACACACAATTTACTTATTTAGTAAACAAGATACATAGTTGCTTTATGGGAAATGTAGGATTGAGCTCAATAGTAGGGACTGGAAGTCAGGATATCTCAGTCTTTTGACCATTTCTTTTTTTGCAGACTCTGGATTGCATACAACGGCAAGGTAAAGCTCATGCAACTATTTTGCATGAGAGAAATACATTTGGCAGAACACATCATGGCACCCAAACTAACTTTCTGTCTTGTCGTCATTTGTTGTTCATCATATTAAAGAGAACATTTATTTTTAATGTTTCAACAAAGATTCTCTTCAAACTTTAGCGGACCAAGCAGGGGGCAGAGGGTGCCCCAGGCCCATGGTTCTTCCAGTTATGAAGGGGCCCACCTTGGGCCCAATCTGCCTGACTGAACATGCATTTTAGCTGTTGGGCAAAAAATAAAAAGACAGATTTAAACCACATCTGTGTCTGCTGCAGAGCAGAGACGAGCCCCCACCACAGCCAAGATGTTCTCTTCGTATGCAACCCCCACTGCTTCGAGTCGATTTGGCTGCCAGTGTCTGTTTGTCTGCTGTATTTCTGTTTGTTTTTAGTGACAATGAAAGTGTAAAAAGTCCAGATCAGAGCGTTTCTGAAGTCAATTTAAAGGTCCTATATTGTATAAAGTGAGATTTCCATGTCTTTTTTGATTTATAAAGCAAGTCAAGGTGTTATATAAATATTGTTAAAGTATCAAAAGCTCAATCCACAAAGAAATGAATACAACCAGTATTCAAAAACTGTGCCTTAAGACGAGCAATCAGGGCTTCCATAATTTTGTGATGTCACAACTAAACAGTCAGCAACTTCAGCTATTCCCCCAGCATGGCCTAACATCCAACCTTTTGTTGTTGTTGCTGTTGTTGTTGTTGTTGTTGTTGTTTAACTTTATTACATAACAACTCAATACCAGGTGGTCATTTTGTCATTGAGCTTGCAAGCTACAAGACACAGAATTGTTCAGGAAACACTACACAATCATTGGATATCAGGAAGCCAATGTATCTCATTGCACTTGTTGTCTTCCCAATGATAGTAATATTAGAAACCAGTGGCTAAAGTTTAGTTTTTCTTAAATTTTTAGTGTGAATTTGTCCATATGTCTCATCTCAGTGCTGATTAACCATCACTATTTGCATTTACTACAGAGGCTTACCAAGCTACGGCAGTAGGCTACCATATGCGACCATATTATTGCCATGGTTACATAGCTAACAAACTAACTAGTATCAGTTAGTTTCAAATCTGTAATCGGTGTTGAGGATAATGCCTAGATGTCCATCCCCTACGCTGACCTTCAAACCCTTTCTCTATAGGTGGATAACCGGGTTGCATAAACAGACTTTTCACATCGGTGGACTTTTGCAGCCTGTGGTACACAGTATAGGATAGAAAGAGCAAAAAAGAGAAGAGAGGGACATCGATATTCACACTGTTTTGCTGTGTTCCCATGGGTAACTGAGCTGTGCTGCAATTTATCTTCATGTGTCTTTTTTTCTCATCCTTCCTCCTGCCCTCTCTTTGCTTTACGTGATGTTTATGTGTCATTTATCTCCTTCGTCTTTCCTTCTGCACAGCTGTGTTTCCTCATCCACTCCCTTTTCCTCCTCAATTATTTTAATGGTTGTACCTTTTTGTATTCTCTGTGAGTCTTTCTCTCTTACTCTGCCTTCCTGTCTCCCCCTCCCTCCCCCTCTTCCTCTCAGTCCCTCTCTATCTCCTCACTCTCACCAACACCCCCACCAGCAGCCCTCCTGACAAAATGAGCAGATAATGAGACATGCTGTGCCAGGCGTGGACACTGTGTGAACGTCTTCTTCCTGTCTACTCAGCATTTGGGATTATATTCATTGCTAGGCTGCCTCCATGTCCAATACAAATCTAAAACACACACAGAAAGACATGCACCCGCGGTATAAACGGTGTAGCTTTGGAAAATGCCACCATATCCATATATTGACATGACAACAAACATCAGCTGTGAATGACATTTCTACAGAGAAACTGTATTGACTGAGATTTAGTGAGCAGCACAGAATGTGTCTTTCCTATAACAACAAAATAGTTCAATAACAAGAATGAGTAGGTGACCTAGCAGATGTTGGAGTGTGTGTTTGATCAAAGTACAATCGGCTGTGTGTGTTTCTGATGCCAACAGTGACTCTCTCGGGGTCACTAATGCAACTGTTGGACCTGCTCTGTGCTTTACATTTCACACAGGGCAATCATTTACCCAGTGTTTACAACCTTTTTTCACCTTCCCTCTCTTTCTCTCTGTGCTTTCCCTGTGTTACTTTTTCAGTCACCAGTAATGGAACAGTTGTCAGCGGTGGTTCACTGTTTGTGACAGGTCTGTGAGGTGAGTGTTTTGTGTCTCCTATCATTGTCATTGTCAGCTCTCCTCTGCACTAGCAGTCCTTCATATTCAGGTGTGGAAATTCACACCAGCACACTTAGATCTGCTTGTACTCCACCCAGCCACAGACGCACGGGAAGTGGATGATAAATGATTTGTGATATGTGAAAAGCAACTATAGACTGCCTTATGCAACTGTCAACTTGAAGACCGGCAAGCACTTTTTGTCTTGGGGGTAGCCTCGTATTTTTCTTCTCTCTGTCTATTTATTGCATTTTTTCTATCAATTTCTATTTGCAAATATAACCTCTTCGGCTTCCCCTGCTCACCAAACACAAGGGGACTGGGGAAATTATTTCTTGTCTGGGCCAAATGTCTTGTGTACACAAACACTCTCTCTTCACTCTTTCAGACAGCAATGGGAGGTTTTCCAAAGGTATTATCATACATTATCACATCGACTGCAGGGTTGTGAAGATGACACTATTTCACCTCAGCGGTCATGCATGCTTGCATGGATGGATGTCGTATTCTTGAATTCCTTTAAGCTATGTATTTGAGAGTATTGTTTACACTTTAACTGTATAAATTCAGTATCTTGAAATGCAGGTCTGTTCAGGAGAAGGGAGGGTGTTTTATTCTGACCTATCTGTATTAGTAATGCGTGGATCAGCTCTGATGTCAACCGAATCCGCATGTATGCATAAATCATCCACCCACCACCCACCCAAATTAATTATTTTTCCACAATTTAAAGACCCGCACCCAATCACACATTACCATTATTTCTCAGTAGGATATTATGCATGATGATACAGTAACATACTACACGGACGTAGGCTGGTTTTAAATAAGCAAACATTTAATGAAAATAGAAGTTCTCCTTTTTCGGTAAAATGAAAATGGCAAGTTATTTCCATAATAGCCTGAACACAGGCTGACGCTTAAATTCTGAATGTCACTGCTACTTCCCCAACACAAAGTATTTAAAGCAGCTGTTTGTAAGTTTTGCTATTGCTACATAACCAATGTTTGCATAACAGCTGTTAACTTACTAGTCTAAAAGAAACATTGCGAGTTCAGCATCAAACTTCATCCCCTTACTCACCAAGAGCTGTCTCCAGAGGTGGAAATCAGTCCTCTTGTTTTGCTTCTATTCAATAATGAACAATAAAAAATAATGATAATAAATATATAATAACAATAAACAAAAATGTCAACCTGATGATGGCACTAATCAGGGGATCAACAAAGTCACCGGGATTCATCCTTTGGGAACCATGAATCTCTGCATGAAATATCATAGAAATCTAGCTCTGCCTACCTAAAACACAGAAAAGACAATGACATTTCAGGAGAAAAATAGACAGAAAAACAATTCAAAAAACAAATCAACCATACCAACAATAGCAGACAACAGCATTTGACAACATAACCCAACATTACACAAATCACAGCATTTCACAAAACACAACCACATTATTGAAAATATGTAAAAAAACAACAACAAAAAAAAAAAACAGAATACACGTACAGAAAAAGCAGTAAAATTTTAAAACCAAAAAGTAAAAAAAAAACATAACAGCATTTCACAATAACAATAACAATTCAAAACACCAGGAAGCATTAGGGAAAGCATAATGACAAAATAACATTGCAGACAACACAACATATAAATGACATTTCCGAAAAACAATGACACCAGACAACACGTTTATGAGAACAACATGACAGCTTACGTAATAGAAAAAAATAAACACTTCAGAAAAAACACAGTATCTTAGAAAACGCAAAAATGATTTGCAACATTTGGGAAAACAGTAGCTAAATGTGTATTTCCCATACACATTTCAGAAAACACATCCACGCTGCAGAAAATACATCAAAAATTCAGAAAACCCGTTACAGAAAACATGAAATTTTACAAAACAACAATATTTCAGTCAGAGACACTAAATGTCAGAAACTTGAACATTCATAACAAATAGTGATACAGTTAGATCTGGTGGAAAAGGCTGTGCTGTTTGAAGGATCTCTCCATGAATCTGAACAGTGAGAAGAATTCTGCTGCAAGAGCTAATTCCCTGTGATAAACACATCCATGAAGATACATTTTGGGGAAATCAACCATATGAAATATCATAAAGGAGGCTGGGGTGGTGGAGAGAGCGGCAATCAGCAGCCTAACAGTTATAAGACTGTTGGGTTATCATCATGTCTTCGCACTGGCATTAATATGATTGACGATACTCACCACACAGCTGTAAATGAGTCAGTCATTGTATACTGGAAATAGCTCGTGCCAAATAGCCGATACAAACCCAACTTCAGCGCTCTGCCTGAACTAACGCTATGCTTCATTTCAGTCAGACACACTTAACATCAAGGACGTGACCATTTATAGCAAATGGTTATACAGTTAGATTTGGTGGAAAAGCCTCAGTTTTGCTCTGTCTGCTATTTGAGGGAGCTCTCAATGAGTCCAAGCAACGATGAGGATCCTGCTGAGAGAGCTAATCCCCCAAAACTAAATTATTGCTCAATATTTGTTAATCACTATTAACTGGTGTACGTAAAGACAACCAAAATAACAATGCCACTGAAATCTTTCATCCTGAGGCATTAGTAATACATAAATGATCATATCATGTTGGCAGATGTTTGGTCTTGTGGATCTTTTGTTTATCAGTTCATCTGGTTGCCTTTTCACTATCCATTAAATATAGCTGTTATTATTGTTCACTTTTGTACATGGTTGCAGACTCTCTCTCCGCCTTACTTGCATTTCAGTCTAATTCATTTGCCAAAAAAAGAGACAAAGCACACAATAAACAAAGTTAAAGATGAAGTTGACTGATAGCATTATTATTATTTTCAAATTTTCTATAGATATTGTGGCAATATCACTATTGTGTATTCTTTTGGCCACGATAATTGTGTTGTGAAAATTTGATATTGTGACAGCCCTAGTCTGAACTATAGTGTACACTTCTTCTTATCTAAGATGAAACTCAAATTAACATACAGCAAGATACAAATGGTATCTTGATATAAGGGAAATGTTCTAAACAAAATGTCTCTAAACAACAATGCAGCCATAGTTATGTTACTGGCATTGCCACCGAAACACATCCTGTACTGGGCCAAAACATGCAATGTCACTGGCAACGAATGAAAGCACGAGCAGCACGAGAAGCTCCGCAGCGTGATGGCCAGTCAAAATCTGATGAATAGGGCTCTGACGATCACAGTCTGAAATAAACACAGGAAAACTCAGCGGCTGTCCTGGCATCAGAACTGACGGCTGTTTTAAAAACCACAATGGACAGCGGGCAGCAGAAGACATGCAGTGCAACACGCCCTAAGCAAGAAGAATTCTCAGAGAACGCAACATTTCATGAAACACGACATCACAGAAAACAAAACAGCATTTCACAAGTTTGTGTTTCGAATATATACAGTACTCTATTACATTACCAAAATGTTGTACCAAACGCCATCTACACGTTAGAGAAAACACAATCACATCTGAGAAACCAAGATGACATTTCACAGAAGACACATTTCATAAATCACAACATCTCAGAAACAAGAAAAAAGTTTTTCAATTTGGAAGACGGTGATTGTGATTGACAGGCATGATGTTGCCAAGTAGAGGACACAATACCTTCTTATCATCAGAAACCATCAGCAGCTGCCGGAACAGAAGAAAAAATGACAAGGTTTGCAACTCTTTCTGTTTCTCAGCAGTTTGCATACTGCTTTCATTGACAACTATGAAGCATGTTATATAAGCTATTCAAATGCTAGAAGGTCACATAGTCAAAAATATTTATAAACCTGTTGGTGATGATTGGAAAATACATATGGTACATCATATGGCAAGGTATTCAGACATGTGACCACTCCATTACTGAAATCTGCATACAGTAAATGACATGCTGTTCCACCCTCGTCAACGTCAAGGCCCACTTGTAGTTGCTATGCATTTGTGGCTGCTGAGGGAGATGTGACGCAGGGAAAAGTATGAGGCCAGTACATTCACCCTTGGAGGGTTGTTTAGTCAATGCAGCATGAGCACACAGTATACACCTATACATCTATGAATCACACCTTTTTTCATTCCAGGGCTGTGGGGTTCAAGCTGGGTGAATGTAAATGTATACAATGAAAAAACTGGTACCAGTTACCGGTATCATTACCTCTGCCAATGAGGTTCTGTTTTCACCTGTGTCTGTCTGTCTGTTTGTTTTTTATCACTTTCCTTAATATTGCAAGACAGGGCGTTTTTCAGCATTTTTTATTAAAAGCAGGCATGTTTATGGTGTTGACATCTATGAGTTTGAGATCCAGATCTGGTAGAAGAAAATGTCTGGCCTTGCTGGAGGTATGTGCTATTTCTAGTTCATTCAAGACCTCCTCCAATGAAAATCAAGTTTTTAACCTTGTTAATATTTCCATATTGTGTTTTTTATATATATTATTTAATACTAGACATTTCATGAGCGAAATAAGCACATCATCAACGCCATGAATGCATATTTCCAGCTTGGAAATGTAGTGAACCAATGACATTCTCCTAAAAACGGATTCAGACAACCTGGGATTCATATGTCATATAACCTAAGGAACCAATCCTGTGAACTTGTGGGGGTGGAGGGCAGGCAAAATAAACCAGAAACCTTGTCAGTAAAGAGAGTGAGAATATTCATTAGCACAACCACTAACACTGTGTCAGCCACTGCCAGTTACAAGCTAACAAACAACATAGACAAAAAAAACATTCAAATTGAACTGTTCTGATATATCTCTTAATAACAACAACACACTGCTTATCTGAGTCTGGGTCTGACAGAGGCTCAGGCATGTGGCTGAGTCTCTCCAGTGTTTCCTCCACTAACCATCTTGTTAAGCACTGCTCTTTCACCTGTCAACCTAGCACAAGTAGTGCTGGTGGGCGGGGAACAAGGCCAGGTCCAGAATTGAGGAAGTAAGCATAGATG